AGTGGGTATTGCTGCTACGGAACAGAATGGCGGCACTAATACTTCACCGGAGGAAAACCTGGTGGCTACTTCCCAAATAAACCCATCAACAGTACTGATGAAGCTGCAGAGACTCACACCTGGAAAGTTCCCAGGTTGCGACTACGTCAGGGTATTCGTTCTGAAACAGTTCGCAAAAGCTCTCTATAGGCCCTCATGCAATGCTTCCAGCACTCGATGGGTTCGGGGAAAATGCCAAGGGAGTGGAAATGAGCCAATCTTTCCCTGATTTTCAAGGGTGGGGATAGGTGAAATCCCACTAGATATAGACTAGTAACCCTACTCCCAATAGTGCCAAAAGTACTAGAAACTATAATTGATGTTCGCATCAGAGAGCATCTTGATAGGACTAATAGACTCCATGAAGCACATGTTTTCATGAGGGGTAGATACTGTCTGACGAACCCAACGTCATCTTGAAACGGCTGAACATCATGGCAGGATACGAATATTTCAATATATATGGTCTTCCCAGACTTTGAGAAAGCGGTTGACATAGTTCTAGCTGATCTTTTACCCAAGTCAAGTCAGGAAGGTGTGGGTGAGCCGTTTCTGTAATGGTCGGAGGACTACCTGGCTGAAATGAAATTATTTATTTTCCTAAATTTTTTAAAATTTTCGATTACAGCTTGATTTCACACCATATTTTTAGTACAGGTATGGAATTTTCAGCTTGTGATATTGATAGCCCAAATTTTGCAGGCTGACCATAGATATAAGGTGTGCGTTTTCAAGGGATCGAACCCCAGACCATGTGCATGATCGCGACAGTCATAACCGCCGTGCCAATGACGCGCTAAGGTTAATCGACTCCGATCACCCTGGCACAGCTCGTCATCGGTAGTGTCACAATGCTGTGCCCTCGGGTCACTGATTTTTTGATTTTTATCGACGACTGCGTCCAAATGGACTATCCTCGTAAAATCGCATACACCATAACTGGATAGACATCTACAGTCGTCATTCCACTTCTTTACAGTCTCTCCCGTATTACTTTCCTGACTACTCCAACCACTACGCCTACACTTATCATTATTACTGATACTGTACACATATATATTTATAAATGTGTATATATCGACTTCAAAATTAACTGACCGTCTGTTTTTACGTTTTCTTAATTTCTTTCTCTGTGTTTTATTCTGAATAATAATAATAATTATATGTTATTATTATCACTGTCTCTTTTCCTTTGACTGAGGACTAACTGGGGAAAGGATAAACTCCGCTCACAGTAGTAATAAATTCCTAATACAGTATACTATAAACAACATAATTTATCCCAGCACTATTACTTTGGAGCCGATCAAAGCTACGACAGTCGATTGGCAGGCCGAACTGCGCAGAAGTATAGGGAGGACCAGGAGCCTTTACCTTTAAATCAAGAAGCAATCACAAAGAAATCAAATTGGCTTACACTTGCTCGTAAAAACGATATTGGATATTGGATCAGTTGAGGATAAAAATAAACATTATGCAGCGTCTTTCAATGCTTTGCGCTACAGCTCTTACGGTCGTCCATTGTAGGTGTTTTGTGTCATTGAATTACGGTCTTCAAATCAGCTGAAAATGGTAATTTTACGGTACCCACTCGAATTCATAATTCATTTTTACCATCTGATATGTTTATTTCGCACATACAAGATTATCATATCAATACCATGGAGGTATATCACTGCTAATAAATAGTAATAAGCTGTAGCTTAGAAGTTCAGCAGTCATATTTTCTTACCTTATATTACTGTACAATATAGAAAATCACAGATGACTGCCTCTAATATCTTTAATGAGTAGGTGGAATAAGATAAAGACTCGGACCATAGGAAAAATGAGTGCCAGGTTAATTTATTGTAATCACAAGAATTTTCCTTTTAAAGTTCTCATCGCAGTTCAGTCTAAGTGAACGTGTCTCTGCTTCATTAAAGTCGGTTTGGGGAAATGTCAAATCTGTTTCGAAGCCACTAGTTCTGATTGTCTCGATGACTTTTATGTTGCTCTGATTAGCGGTGAAAGACTTCATTTAATGGCAACACTAAAGAATAGACACCAAGGTCAATTGGCCTTGAATCGTCCAGTAAGGTGTCTTAGTAATACGCACGGATGTTCATAATCTTCGTTGTAAGTTTCATCCAGATGTTTTAATACCAATACACTCGAGTGGAAAGGTTATTCGCAACTGTCATCAATAGACTACATTCATTATAAAGTTAATCATACTTCTGAATTAGTAGATCCTATAATTGGAACTCATACTAGTTCTAGTGAAGGAATCTGCGTCCACTTGGAAAATGTATTATAATAGTAAATGGTTTCTAATATGATATACAGCCACTTAGATTTTTTGTATCGACATTGGTTTGATATGAATACAGACACTCTTATGAAAAACTGGGATCAGTTTTACAGCACGTTGGAGATATATACCCTGTATAATTCAGTTTTATCACGTATATGTCTTATAAATACACTTATTTTAAAATAGATGCCACTTTTTACCTAGAAGAATATAACTGGCAGATTCAAGGTCATTTGAGTCTGGTGTCTATTCTTTAATTTAATGAAATTACTCATAGATAAGTATGGTCTGTTGAATAATGCGTACCTATTCAGAAGTAGAGACCGAGTTCGTTTAGGCAAAAATCCACCCAGGGATGTCCTAAGTACTTAGAGAATTTTCGCGAACTGTATTTCATTTTCACCCGTCACTAAAATATACTAACACTTAAATTAATGTTAGGGGGGAGGAGCGTAGCCTCGTGCAAACCTAAAAATAAAACCCCTTAGGATTACTCAATAATTTTTTATTTTGTTCGGACAGTGATAATAGTACAAAATCCTGTAAGTCCGACAACTTAATACTAAAGCGAAGCTCAGTTTTACAACTAAATGCATATTAGTGCTCTAGATGGCTTACGCTCAGAATTATTCCTAGTACTTCGAGAAGCTACCAATAATTGCTATGTGATGACAGGATGTGAAGAATGTACATTACTATCAGTATTTTAAATTGATATTTTCAACTAACTCTCCCGTTCGTTACTGGTAGTGTCTCGTTTAAGTAAGTCTCACTACCCAGCTCAGGTTGTATTGCTGTGTTCTTTCTTTGGGATATACATTTAAGGCTCAATTTTCATCACCTATTTTCACATTGCAAATATGAGTCCGGATATCTAGGTACTTCCTCGTAAATTTTGCCTACACACCTAATAGTCGCTCATAATCTCGTTAATCAGGACGTTTTGTGAGTTTGTTTCACTGAAAATTGGTGAAATGCAACTAATGAAAGGCTTTATACTCATACCCTCGTAAGTGCGTCGTATTGTATTATCAGTTGTTTGCATCATCCTTCCTTCCATCCTTATCAAACATTGAAATGCATATATATTTGTGATGTCCAGTTTGCAGAGTTTGACTCCATGAAGTAAAACTTAGTTGATATACAATAAACAGATGACAAAGTTCTGCTGGCTGGAAAATGTTTTTCATTTCGAGTTGATTGTGTAAGTCCTTATATGACACTAAAAGAAGGGATAAAAAAATCAAATCTGATAATACTGCATCGGATAGAGGAAGGATAATCAAAGGTGCCCAAAACCCTAAAGATGGCGAGAATTAAATATATCTGTGCAATGTTGAGAGACTTTGTGTTATTTTACTGGGAGTATGCAACCATCGACTCTTAGTGTCTAGATGCCTGTAGCCAGGAAACCCAGACTTTATGTTGCCCGAAATAGTAGTTAATGGCTTCATTGATTGACATCACGTCTTGGCGTAATCACTCCTAGCTCTTCCTACACCTTACTGCTATCTTAATAAGATAATAAGATAATAATAGCTTTATTCCAAATTAGTACTTGTGATACAGAATGGAATTCTCAGCATTTTTACTACAATATTGCATCCAGTTAGTACGTTAACAATAAATAAAGTTCTACACAGATTAAAGTTATCTCAGTCAGTTTTGACAACAATATATTGGCATGTCGGTAGCAAAGCCAAAATTTAAACAGTGTTTGAAGGTGTTAGAAAAGTAGATACTACTAGCATATTTACTGGCGTAAGCGGTAACAACAGGTCGAGATATACAGAGAGTGAAAGAACGAACAAGAATGTTTTAAGCAGAGTTTGTAAGGAAGAGAGAAACAAAACAGCACATAACGAAAATAAATACAGAATGAGAAAAAAAGTAGAGAGAAAACGTTGTACCTGTAAATGATGTGAGTTGGAAAGACGAGATCCATTTGTTCTACTGACTATTTAATAAGTTAAAGGTTTCACGCCTAATGCTTTCTTTATCGCACAAAACACGAGCTAGGTAGGGTATGGATGAGCTTTTGTAGTTGCTAGTGCGGGCATATAGTTTCCTATATAGGTGTATATAATGGTGTAGGACGTTACTAGTTTGGTATACTCACCAAATGTACTAACCTCCTTAGTCGACGCATTTTCATAACCTCATCAATTGACTTGTCTTCATAACACATCATCCCGTCTCAGAATTAATTATCATATTATACCTAATGCCAACAAGTGAACGAAGATATCTTTGATCAGAGATCTGCCCTTTTTAAATCTCAGGAGCTGCATCGCAGCCATGAAGTGCTACGTGGCGAATTCTTCTGCAGTAGCACCACCTTAGTGTTTAGTTGGTTGTTTCAGATATACCTGTTTCATCACCCAGGTTTTTACTTCACAGTCAGCTACCATTCTGCGAAATCAAATATTCACCGGTGCGAGTCCAAATTTATTTTGATAGTTAAGTTTCAAGTGTCTTTTTTTCACGGAACTGACTTCCACCGTATAATCGGATCCGTTCTATCATATCTAGTTTGCGTGTTGGTCTAAAATTTTCCATTTATGTTATAGATATCTATCAGTTATGAGAAGCAACGATACATTTCTTGTAAATTTAACAAAGATTACATCAATTCAAGTTAAACACTTTTCGCAATACATTTAAAATGCAATCAAACGAGCACAGCAAATTATCTCGCCGTACTCGTTTAATTTTCGGCAGTGATTCTTCAAGAAATTCTTCTCATAATGCAAATTTGAAGAAACATCCCGATTCTGTTGAATCGAATAATTTACCGCCACCACCCCCTCCACCACCCCGATATCCCTTGACAGGTGACGGATTTTCTCCACACACTGGATATGGAGTATCTAGTGCATCTGGTGAACAAACGCCAAAGTCTCCACCAAGGACTTCTTCGTTAAGACCTAGAGGGATTCCGTTAAAACGCGAGTATGGCTCACGTGAACGTATTGCACAACCTGCAGCATGTAAGTCAACCTCTTATCCACGGAATTTAATTTTTCTGCATAATTGAAAATAATCTGGTTTTTGGCTTTTATCAGTAATGCAGTTAGTAATGAGCCCCACCTTACTGTGTATGCTAGTATTGGAATGCATGGACCTTAGTAGTGAGATTCAACCCCATGATCTAGTGATTGAAGGTTCGGAAGCTAATTCACCGAACCAAAGATCAGTTAAACTGAGTGAAAGGTCTCTCTGTAGTATTTTTTATGTCTAATGATTGGAGAGTATTAGCCGCTATTTCACCATTTTTTTGATAGAAGTTAATCAGTGAATGGTGCTAATTGAGATTCATAAGAATCAGAAAAACCAGCTAAATATCCGGTTACGATGAAAATCGACTGTTAATGTATGTGTCTCTAGTCTGGCTGTCCAACACTGTTGATTATATAAAGTGAAATTTATTATAACAATCATATAGGGACCGAATTATAGGTTGTCTTTCAATAACGCTTTAGTTGCACCCTCATAAATTTATTATTTATATAAGACAATGAAAGTGTAGTTGTGATTACATCTTGAAATCATTTCATCCTGAAAACCCCGAATGTATTCATACCATAATATATGATCTGCTATAAGGCATTAACTATTAACTTTGCTCTCTTATAATTCGTTATTTCTATGCATTTTGTTTTTGATATTCTTGCTGTCAGATAAATATTATTGAACAATTATCACTTTATAGTGTCTGAATATAAGTGAGTTTTTGCTTAGTGTTAAGCTGTTGTTTTACTCTGTGTGTGTGTGTGTTATGGTGGTTTTCGTTTTTGTTCTGCAGTACACACTGTTGTTCAGGCGAAAATTTTTTTTTAAATCCACGTGTATAAATGTGCGTACATTGTATCAAATATTTTAAAAATATATTTTTGCAGTGCTTTGGCTAATCAACTTAATGCCTTTATAGGGAGAACTCTTCTCAACGTGCTTATTGTTTTACTTCATCAAAATTTGATTTTTCAACTCACTTTTAATTAGCAAGAGTGTTGTGGCTTCCTTTTTAAGCGCTTTAAAAAACTTGTTTGTCTCCTTTGACCCGGCCATTTGGTGTCATAGGTTTTCGTAGATTATTAGTTGTTTGACGGACTTGCGTGAACTCATACTTTAGCTGAATTAGACAGAGTAAGATTAAGCACCGTAACTTATTAGTAACCAATAGTAGTCAGAATTTATTATTAGTGAAAATTAAAGTTAAAAGGAAGAATTCCGCATGTTTAAGTAGACTGACTGTCTCAGTTTAGTTTATAAAGGCAGTTATCATTATTATTGTAATAGCTTTACTCTGAACAGTGTTTACATAATGGACAGAATTTTCAGCGGCGTTCATTGCATGACATTTTCTCTTCGTCCAGGATCTTCAAATAAAAAAGACTGTGACAGTAGATTGTGTGACACAGTTCTATCTGATCTGAAGCGCAAACCATATTCATTATGATATCTCTTTTCTTTTTCTCTTTCGACAAATACATGGCATTTTGTTGAATGCCAATTATCAATAGTACAGGAGTACATTTTGCGAACCAACGACACCACTCAACAATGGTTATCTCATATATCGGTGATAATGCTTTTTCTCATGTTTAGTAGAAACTTGCCAATAAGCACGTCGTAAATGCTTTGAATACTACTCATAAGAGTAAACAGTACTATTAGAGGTTGTATTTTACTACACTTTAAAGAACCTGGAAAAGAGACATTGTATACGATATTTTGTTGGAGGTTTGTTGTTTTAGTTAGCCCAAGTTTTAATCATCCCTCCGATTATAGTTACGGTCAATTGAATAATCGACTTTGTCATATTAATTGTATTTGAGTGTTTATTGTAAGTCCGCTCAACACCTCTTAAAAAACAGAATACTTTTTTTAAACCTAATTAAGTTACCAGTAAACATGCATCTTTTTTGACATTATAACTGTAGCGCACAAAAGCACACAGGTCAGTGCTTCTGCACACTTTTCCGTAATAACATGTAAGCTGTGACTTTATTTCGAGTTTAGTTTGATACAGTCTCCAGTCACTAACTGACGGATAGATGGAGTAGGAACAAATCTGCGATGTAATATTCACTTAAGCACAGTCAAAATCAATAATCCATAGACACTTCAACTGCATTTAGTACACGCTTTTGTTTCTTAAAAGAGCACTATTTTTCTTTTTTTTGTTTTTGAGTGGTAAAAATGATTTATAAAAAAACGAAATGTTTACATTTGCACACGTAGTTTTTCATAACACTTGTTAGAATAACGTAAAACTAGCTCTAACCATCGGTGTTTTGCCTCTCTCGTCTTTTCTTTCATGCTTGTTGTCAGTGTTATCTCTGTTGTTATTGTTGTTGTCGCTTTCCTCATCGTCACTGTTAATCATCTTCCTTCGGGTAATTCCTCCTGGCCTTTAAATTGTGTATTCTCTTTTGTGTTTTTTGTTTAACGTTATGTGTTTTGTATGTCATACATATGATGAGATTACTTCTTTGAGATGTCTCAATAAACATTCATGATTGTTAAAAATTTAAACTTACTCAATATTACCTGCTGGAAAATATTAGTTCTTGTTAACTGATGGGTAAGTCGTTTTGAATGTTTTTATTCTCAATCCTTTAGTTAGATGAGTGTAATTCTGTGTTTACGCACCCTAGTCGATCCACCCAGCATGTAGGATTCACAAGTGAAGTGTAATTGTTAGCTGTTTTTTCTTCTCCAGAACACATAATTCACATAATTTGTTGTTATCAATAGTAACAGTAAAGCTGCTGGCACCACATATAATATATATGCAGCAGGTGTTTCTAGTCGACTCTGACCAACGCTTATTGTACAAACCAAGTTGATGTGTTTTTTAAATGGTGTGGTTTTTGTGGACTTATTTTACAACTGTAATGAACAACTCAGATGTTTACAGGATTTCATCATGAGCTGACATTAGTTAGAGAACCATTGGAAGACCTGGGAGTACTGGACAGCTGTTTCGTCCTAGTTTGGGACTCTTCACAATACGCACCCATCGGAGTTCGAGCCCAGGACCTTCTGGTTACAAGGTCAATGAGCTCGTATATCATTAAGCCACTGGGACCCGATCCAGTGGCCAGTGCATGAATTCTAACTTCTGCCAATTCACGATATAGCGCAACCGCTAGCCAGTGTCCTCCGTGGAGAGTATTTGTCCTCACACCCGACCTGCTGCACCCTACTGGTCACGACTCAACTGTTTCTCAACATTTTTTCACCTACCCTATTGACAATTGTTATTGTTAGTATGTGTAGCTCGCTTATTTTCAAGTAACCGGCATATTTCGTTAGAACAAACAAGTTTGGTGATAAGTATTCATCAATTGGTTGTGGAATCTCATCAAACGAACACCATTCTTATTTGCTTTGAAATTCAAATATGATTTCCCCGTTTTTTGATTGGACTGAAATGTTTTGCCTCAGTTCTGATGCCGGACGCATTGGCCTATGTCTAATGATTAACTTGAAATAATGTGGTGAATGGTGACTAACAATGGAACCCAGACGAGACGCGCGTTTCGTCTCGTCTGCGGCTCGTCATCTGGATGCGCCTAAGTCTCAATGGGGGCACCGTCACTCATTGGGGAATGCAAGCACATCTAGATGACGAGTCCCAAATAAGACGAAACACACATCCGAAAAATTAATTCGAACAGGATTCATGTTCTCTGGTTTCCTTTGACGTCATCAGTTATTTTGGATATACCTCCATTAGTCTTTATTTTAATCAACACATTCAGGTAGGCAGTACGTTGTTACAGTGTTCAGTATTTCTTAGTGGAAGTTTTTCTGTAAATGCCTTTCCCTTTTACTTGTCATCGTCTACACACACGCCAAATAGAGGTTAGCGTGTCTATAAACGAATTAAGCATGTAGAAGTAAAGTTTAGACACAGTATACTTATTAGCCATGTATTATTGTGGCGAAAGTTGTCTGCTTTGAAGTGAAAAATCAAGTGTTAGCAATTCCTAGTGACGGTGTAAAATCTTTCATAGCAGCATAAATGACACATTCACACTTTGTCTACCAAACTCTAAATACTTTCAGTGGTTCTTACATTATTGTTTTTATTTCCTGTTACACTCACGCTTTACCGCTTTTCAATCAATGCTATTCTATAGCCTGTTCATTTTCATTGATAAAATTTTGTACACAGCTCTAATTTTTATTTATCCTGGCTTGTGATAAAAACAGAACTGGATATTTTGATGTCTCTAGATCTCAGAGTGTAGACAGTGTATTTCTTTTTCTTTTACTTTGGGAGGTGTTTTGGGATTTTTTGTCAGTTCCGTAGTGGTTTTCATTAACAAACTGACACCAACTAAAGAATTAGTGAAAATCAGGTCCCAGTGGCTTAATGGTCTACGAGCTCTAGCTCACCTTGTAACGTGGGTCGCACCCTGTCGGCGGGTGCATACTGGCGAAGAGTTCCAAACTAGTGTGACAAAAAAGCTGTCCAGTACTCTTAGGTTTCCCAATTGTTCTGTAACTGTTGTCTGCTCATTATGAAATCGTCTAATTAAAGAAAATCAAATCCACTGGTTGGCTCTTTCGTCTCCTAAGCAGTGATTTTTTAAGACCGTTAGGTTGCAGTTTATGGTTGTTTGCCTTCTTTCACTGGATCACAGACTGATTGCCTTGTTTTTCGAATACTGACATTCTTCACCTGTATATGTATGTTTGTATGTCACGTAGTCCTGATATCCAACTGTTAAGCTATAATTTTGGATCTTACTCTCCTGCCTAGAACTCGTGTTATCCACTTGTCTTGTAGCCTAGCACAAAATGAGCGTGATTATGAAATTGCGCTTCAGAACTTTCGAAACCACTTAATGGTATGATTCTTATTTCTACTTTAATTTGTTAGATGGTACTGGGGAGCGCAAAAGTCTCAGGAAGCCACAGATTGGCTCATCTACTACTAGTAATAATAGCAGCTCCGAAAGACAATTTCCAGTTGTAGACCGTCCGTCTCGACCGTTTACACTGACTACTACTAATACCACGAATACAAGTACAGCATCCACTAATACTACTCCTTCAGCTAGTAGTAGTAATGAAAAGTTGACGTCAATCGCAATCACAAAGCATAAAGTTGATAGTTTGTGTCAGACGGATCCTAGAAGTACACCGTTGTTGTCACGTCTACTGGCGCCTGGTTTTGCTACTTCAGTAGTCAGTTCAACTATTAATACTAATTCAAATCAAAGGAAAGGTAGTTTTCAAAGTTGCGGATCATCGGAAAGCGATCGAAGTCCAGTTCCAAGTTCTTCAACACCTAGAGATTTGTTAACTGAAATGAATAGACGAGAAATGGGATTGGACGGGCATAGTCTTTCTCAAGTTTTAACAAGTTCTGGTGAATATCAAAAGAAGGATGGTGAAAATGTCTCTTGGGTAATTGTCAGCTCTTTTTTAAAAAAAATTGTCTTTTATAAATGTTTGGTATTCCATTTCATTTGGCTCGGTGATATTCAGTTATTATCATTATTGTTAGACAATGATGATCTGGTTAGGTTTGTTGTAAAGAGAAAAGAGGATATCTGAGTTATGATATCATGAGAGAAGAGAATTTCCATGTGAACACTACGCTAGCTTTAAGTCAGTGTGTTGGCTCAGTGATTTGGAGTGTCAACAGAAGTATTTCGAACAGACTTCAGTCTTTTGATGAACAACCGTCTTCGTTCCATACTGAAGATCAGATGGCGGGTCAAAAAGGATCAGCAACACACGGAATTCTGGGAATGAACTAGACCAAAAATCCATAACCCGACAAATGTGCCGTAGAAAATGTAGGTGGATTAGACACACTCCGGGGAGCTCCTTATATAACGTCAAGCGTGTCAAGCCCTCAAATGGGATGCAAGTGGGCGTCTGAGGGTGACGTGGAGAAGATGAGAGAGCTTATGAACCCTTGTGGAGTCAGCCAAAGAGGACTGTAGAGAACAGAAGAAAGCAGAGATGTGCTGTTGAAGCTTTATGCTCCTCTCGGAACTCGAGAGGACGAAATAAAATCACAAAATGTGTATTCATACCTCTGTCTTCAGTTTCCAGGTTATAGAGCTAACTAGGTAGTTTTGTTACGCTAATAAATATTCTATAAATAAGATAAGTCCTACTTTAAAGTTAAAATCTTGTTGCTTTTTGAACAGAAATCTGAATTAAAACATTCACTTGGCATTATAAAATGTGTTGAGGTTACTGAAATTGTTCTTGTAAACTGATTACAGATAATTATGTGACTGTAACCTCTCGACTAAGTACACATCATCACCACTTTTACAGTGTTTTGTAAATCACACTGTATGGGCTTTGGTATTGCAGTCGAATATCCTGACTTTTATATTTTATGTCGCAAATAATATTTTCAGTGTTATTATTAACTGGGTGATGTTGTTTCGAGCATCTCGAAGTGATTCTAAGTCCAATATAGGCGTAAATGTGACTTAAGCATTCTACTTGTAACCAGTACGTCCTAGGTTTGAGTTCCACCCTACCTACTTCAGTCTAGATAGCTGAGTACTACTACTACTACTACTACTACTACTACTGTAACAACAGAAGACGAGGGCCAGGCAACAGATCGTTTATTAAGGAAATCGACACATATTTATAGATTTTAATGTACATATTATACATTATTGTTAGCAGAAAAACACAGTCCTCTGATTGGTTGTTTCTCACAGAAAGTTAACCTTGCATCTCTTTGTGGCTGTTTCTTGAATGTCAGATCATCTATATGTTAACTGTGTCCACCTACACAAAGCCTTTGTTCTCATTTTTCTCATGACCAATATTGGGGACATAAACATTGACGTAAATTACTGTCCACCAATTTTGGCTAACAGCCAGCTCTCACCACACTACTACTGGTGCGTCGGTGGCACAGTGGTTAGGACTCTCGCCGACCATACACATGATCCGAGGTTCGATCCCCTGCTAACGCACACCTGATATCTATGGTCGGCCTGCAAAATTTAGGCTACCGATATCCATGCTGAAAATTTCATACTTTTACCAAAAGTACAGTGTAGAATCAAGCTGTAAATCAAAAATATTTAAAAAAAATATAAAATTAACCCTCATGCAGTAAGTGTGGTTCATATCCTGATTTCCGAAAAATCCGGTTCGGTAGAACATACGTTTCTCGACCTCAGAGTCACTTACACAGTGCTATCACTGGACGTAAAAAATCCTACAAAAGCAGCAATGATCAGACATGTATTGTGATAGTTGCCGAGTCAGATTAGAGGAAGTATTCCTCACTGGTGTTCATTTCTTACACACATACCGAAGCTGTGTAAATCCGACATCTTTTCAGTGTTATGCCCCTATTACTTGTTGGATATTGTGGTTTAGATAGTGTCGAGTCGCCGAAGCATTTCGAAGACGATTGTAATAATGGGTAAAAATTTCAAAGTGATTCTATTTCTTTAAAAATCCAGTTTTCGTTTCCTTTTTCAACACACAGAATTCACCATCGTCTTCAACACATGTGCAATCAACTAATCGTGATTGGCGTGAGATAACCGATTGGTCTGGTAAGCCAGCATCATCTGTTGTACAGTCGAAAAATCGTTCACCTAATTTTCAACCATCTCCTGATAGTCAGTGTTGGCGTACAGTAACATCTGTACACATAACAAATGAAAATATACTACATCAGTCATCTTCGAACACGTGTTCATCAGGTACACAAGATGAAATGGAGTCGAGTATTGATTCACCAGGAGTTTTCAATCGGGTATGTGCAATTGATTGATTCGTATTTTTTTCCCTTCTTTCTTACTTTCTTGAAGAAGGAGACACTAGGTGATGCGGACACTATAAGCATGTTTTATGCGTCCCTTGTGTTCTCAGTGGAACATATAGCTTCCAATAGTGATGTTAATGATGTAGGATATTCTACCTTTAAGCCCCATTTCATTCGAATTAAGATGCTGGGATAACAGTCTGTCAATGTAACTTTCCAATCATAAGTGTACGGATAAAAGTCTACCGATCGGGATTGTGAAGTAAGCCAACTAATGAAGTAACATTGTGGTAGCTACTTGCATACTTCAATGACCCAACAAGCTGCACTAGCTAGGATTATTGTTCCTGTAGGTTTTATCATGCCATAAAGGTTGTTCGGATAGCATTTAGACCACAAGGAGTCTCTGGCATAATGTAAGTTGTTTACATCTATGCTGGGAGTTTCTGGGCAAAGTCCGTACTGTTGGGAGATAGCGATCTAATGGCAGTAAGGTGTTTCCCTCGATGATCAGCATGACAGCCGTGCTACTTCTCCACTCTGGAGAGGGAGGGGGTTACAGAAGGTCCACTTGGAAAATTGCACGTCCTGAATCACTAATATGAAAACAACCAGCTCAAACAAGTCGGGTGTAACTGACCTCAAGTAGTTGTCCCCTGGGTTATGCAGTGACGCAAGGCTAATGCTCTTTCTTTTTCAGAAATCCGAAGAGAAAATCAGCTTCTATGGTGTAGACACTCGGGATGTGTAGCAACCGCCCACATGCTTCCAAAAAACATGCACTGTAGCTTAATTTTGAATGGTAGGCACCGATCATTTGGTAATAGTGTGAACTTTTAAATAGTAAAAATTACACCCTCTTGATAAATGTTGCTACACGTAGAATCTTGGCTTAGGGTGGTTCTCTAAGTAATTATATCCTATGAGGGAATGGAATCAAAGGTGTGAATACATAAAATAATCATAGTAGTAGAAGTATGAAATGCAATTAGTATGTTTGTGATTATCATCATAATTAAATATCAAGTGGTAGGTGAAACAAGTAAATGTCACGCATAGAATGGTTCATAAGATGCATAGATGTTGGAAGGGGGTGGTGTGTAAGTAAGCGAATAAAAAACGTTGCGCAACTTGATGTAAAATTCTATAAGATGTAATTTAACACTGCAAAAGACTTTCTTTTTTTGTTTACAATGATAAGTGGGACAAGTGATATAATACCGGAAACAGTTCAAAGTGAGAATAATAATGATAATAATAGTAACAGTCGACATAATAAGGGAAGGATATACAAATTGAATTAAAAAAAAGCACAACAGAAAATGAATAGGACCAAAGTATGAATGGGGATTAAAGTAGTTCCGACTGTCTGTAGTTGAGACAATGCTCCCTAGATAAGTGAAGTGAATGAAGTAACCTCTTCCAAATCCCTCCCGTTGTTGGTGATTGGCACTGGGTGTTTCTGCTGTTGTTGTTGCTGTTGTTGTTGCTGTTGTTGTTGGTTGGTTGGTTATTTTCATAACTTCCGTCTTGTCTATGTTCACTTGGAGTCCTGTCTTCGCCGAGTGCTTCTTCGACCAGTTTGTCAGTTTTCGTTTGTAAGTCTTCGATTTTGTGTTAGATCAAACACAAACATAAATCATCCACGCGCGAAATCCAGGTCTTTTAGGTTCTTCACGACGGTCCAGGGAATTTTCTACGAATTCTGGTGATCTGTTAGTTGACTCCAGATTTCTAATTTAATTTTTTTGTTTAGTCATGTCTTTTAAGATAAGATAATTATAGCTTTATTCCAAATTAGTACTTGTGATACAGAATGGAATTCTCAGCATTTTACTACAATATTGCATCCAGTTAGTACATTAACAATAAATAAAGTTCTACATAGATTAAAGTTATCTCAGTCAGTTTTGACAACAATATATTAGCATGTCGGTAGCAAAGCCAAAATTTAAAAAACAGTGTTTGAAGGTGTTAGAAAAGTAGATACTACTAGCATATTTACTGGCGTAAGCGATAGCAAAATGGTCGAGATATACAGAGTGTGAAAGAACGAACAAGAATGTTTTAAGTAGAGTTTGTAAGGAAGAGAGAAACAAAACAGCACATAACAAAAATAAATACAGAAAAAAAAAGTAGAGAGAAAAAACGTTGTACCTGTAAATGATGTGAGTTGGAAAGACGAGATCCATTGTTCTACTGACTATTTAATAAGTTAAAGGTTTCACGCCTAATGCTTTCTTTATCGCACAGAACACGAGCTAGGTAGGGTATGGATGAGTTTTTGTACTCACTATATAGGCTTCTGGTTTTCCCTGAAGAGATACATGGGGAGAGTTGTGAATGTAGAGGGTGTTGTGAGTCAGATAAAATGGATTTCGCCCATTTTTCACATGAGTCCATGTGCCTGTCCACCAGAATATTAACAAGCTGGCTAAGTGGCAAACTGCTTACCCTGCTGACAACCTTTAACATCCTACGTAATAAGGTATAGTCTTTCTTCAATAGCCCAGGAAAGACTAAGGGGGAACAATAGAGAATAATAGGCAGAATACGGGAGTTAACAAATTGTAGGAGTAAGGGTTGGGTTACACCAGAATGTCTTAACTTCTTGATGTAGAAGGTAAGACGGAATATTTTCTTAGAAATCGTCAAGATATGAGACGACCAGGAAAGATCAGAAGATAGAGTGACGCCTAGGTATTTAATTTCCGACTTGGTTTCAATTTCAGTGCCATCTATGTTGCACACCTCGTGAGTGCTAACCAGTTTGTTTAGGTCAGATTTATGCTTTAAGGTGAAATTAACTGTTTGGCATTTGGAGGGGTTTAAGGTGAGACCGTTTTCCTTGGACCATTGGCTGATTTCTGATAAGAAGCCATTTAGTTTAGAGCAGTCACTTTGACATTTGACAGGCTAAAGATACAGTTAGGTCATCAGCATATTTGACAAAGTTAATGTCATTTGAAGATGGTAGGTCATAGGAAGAAAGAAAGAAAGAAAAGAGAAGTGGGGAGAGTACAGCACCTTGGGGGACACCAGCTTCAGTGAGCACAGCAGAGGAGGATTTACCTTTGTATACGGTGTACTGCATTCTGTTTGAAAAGTAGGAATGCAACCAGTTAGTGACCCAGGACTCGGTTTGTGTCATGGAGAGCTTATTTAGCAAGAGACATCTAGGTACAGAGTCGAAAGCAGAAGTGAAGTCAAGAAACGTGCAGCGGACATATTTGGCACCTTTGTCTAATGATGAGACAATACTGTTGTGTAAGACGGCTGCAGCGTCTAAAGTACTCCTACCCTGTCTGTAGGCAAATTGTTTGGGGTCTTCGAAGCTTTTAAGGGAGGGTTCGAGTTTAAGAAGTACTAGTTTTTCCATGAGCTTTAGAAACGGGGAAGTGATGGCAATGGGTCTGAACTTTACGTTCTTGCTATTTCCAGGTTTAGGGACAGGGACTATTTTAATGTCTTTCCATGGAACAGGTACAACGTTTTCGGAGAAAGAAGCATTTAGGATATTAGTTAGAGGAGAACATAAAGCATCTGCACATTGTTTTAGAACATATGCAGGTATACCATCAGGGCCAAGACTATGTGAGGGCTTAAGAGTTTTAAGACATTTTAAAACATCAAGAGTGTTAAAGTCCTGGAAGTTATCAGCTACAAGATTAGTAACGTTAGAAGTGGTTATAGTAGAAGGAGAGCGTATAAAAGACAGATTAAGAGCATTAACATCACAAGAGGGAAAAACATTACATCGCTTACTATTGCCAGTAATTTCATTGAAAAGTTTCCACATGCTGATAGGAGATTTGCATGATAAAAGTGTTTGGTTATAGATAGCATTAAGATTTTTGATTTCAGATTTGATTTGAGCATTAATCTTTTTAAGTCCTAACTTGTCTTTGCATTTATATAACATTTCTTTTTGCCTGCGAAGTTGTTTGAGATGGGGAGACGAGAAGCGGTCGAGGCGTTTGAACAGTGTTTGTTTGGGACAGCATATGTCGAGGCAGAACTTAAGATAATCCATTATATTGGTGATTGAGTCATCTAATGTACTTTCATAGAATAGATCCCAGTTAGTATCTTTTAACATGCATCTTAGATTGAGTAGGTTGTCAGATGTGTAGCATCTTTGTTGTGCTTTCGTAGACAGGTGTGAGAAGATTTTAATATGTGTTTTGCTGTATATTTTTGGCAAAACGCGGACAATGCAGTGATCTGAGTTTAGTATCGGTGAACGTCTACGTGTTTCATATACTCCTTCGTCATTAGTATAAAATATATCGAGTGTTTTGTCAAGTCGAGTGGGAAATTTGACTATGTTTGTGTGACCAAGAGCTTCAAGAAAGGAGCAATCTGAGGTGTTGAAGTCCCCAGTAATAACGGATAGAGAGTTGTCGAAGTTGGCAGCAGCAAACATGGTGAATTCATCAGCAAAATTAGATAGATCAGATGGAGAGCAACTAGGAGAAATGTACATGTTTGTAATATAGATTTGTTTATATTTGGGGAGATGTTTGGGGCGACATTTGACAGTAATACAGTCAATGAAGTCATTTGAGAAGGTGAAGCAGACGTTATTAGAGACAGACCATTTGGAGTGAATAAAAGTTGCAACGCCACCACCATTTTTCTTATTACAACATTGACGGTCTTGACGAAATAAAATAAAGTCCTTTAGTGAGATAAGGTTGTCATCATACAGTTCATGCAACCACGTTTCTTGTAAAGTGATTATGGCGGTATTATGATAAGTATCAGTGGACATCAAGGATTGTAGGTACATTATCTTGTTTGGCAAAGAGTGGCAGTTTGTGTTCATTATGACGGGGACCGTAGTTAAGTGTATTGGTGTACGTTTGAGAGCTCTCTGCCAACCACTACGATGTTTCCTCCTTGGTTTCTTTGGAATATGAAAGTCATTTGGTCGTAAATGATTAATAAAGTTACGAGAGTAAATGATTCTGTTAGAATTCATATTTAGGTGATAAATAAGTGTTGGTAAACAGTAGACTGGATGCAAAATGTAGATATTATAGTAGCTGACCCAAAAATTCGAACAGGCCGCCAAGGTCGATTGATTATCCACGTGAAATGTATTAGAACTTGGTAGACTAGCAGTTCACCATTGTGATTGTTCCCTTCTAGTGTTTGTTTGTTCGTTTGTTCCTTCGTTACTTTAAATTAGCATCAATGTGATGTTGAATCGAATGATCAAGAGAAAATGTTCAGTAAGGGTGAAGAGTTTTCAACGAATGCCTCCAGTTCCGGTGATATCGATGATGATGATGATGACGATGACGATGATCATGATGATGACGATCGTGCTATACACCAAACACCACCTCTAAATGAAGAGGATATTGAATCAGATACACATAACGGTAATCAAGAAGACAATAACAATGTTGGTGATGATAATGATGACGGCGATAATGGTGATGATGACGATAATGATGGTGAAGAAGACGGCGAAGACGAGGTAGAGGAAGGAATAGAAGGAGAAGAAGAAAATGATGATGATGATGAAGGGGAGGAGGAGCAGGGGCAGGATGATGATGTTACTGAAGATGACATTGATAATGATGATACACCGAATCATCCAGGTGAAAATGATGAGACTGAGACTACTACTATTGCTACTGCTTACAATCTTCATGATGCTAATAATGATAATGATGATGATAATAATAATAGCAACAACAACAACTCAGTGACAATGATGATGATGATACATCGTACATCACACTCTTATGTAAATGAATCTGAAGAATTGTTTGCAGTGCATGAACAACATGAAAGGCAACTTCAACAACGACAGCAACAAGAAGAAGAACAAAAACGACAGTATCATCTTGATGACCATCATCATCATCACCATCAGCCGCAGCAGCAGCAGCAGCATTCGGAAGAACAAATTGATTCAAAACCATCTTCACATTTCAATTTACCTAGTTCTTTACAAAAGCCATGTGATTATGATCGTGATTGTATTGATTATTGTAAGTGATTTTTCGTTTTTGTGCCGTTGTAGTAGTAGTAGTTGTTGTTGTTTATCTTGCAATTTCAATGGTTTGGATGACATAACAGTTAGATGCTTTCGTGTAGTTTTTTGTACGCGGTTTCTGGCTGACTGATTGATTGAGTTTCAGCATGGAACTGTACACAGAAGTGCACCAGTTCGAGTAGGCGAACTCCTGCCATGTAGCACACAATTGAAGACAAAGGCGAGAGAAAGACACATTCAGAAGAAATGTGAGGGAGAAAGAATAGTGGAATGGAAAAACAAGAGGGTCTAACGGATACGGTGTATTCGCTGTGGAGGACAATTTCGAGTGATATCACCAATTGCCTCTTCCAGACATTGGTCCTTAGAATGCTGGAGACCCCAGACAGTCTCTACTTCCCTATGTGACTGGCTAAAACTAATTCTTAAAGATTGCATGATCTGACTCCATGTTTTGGTCTGACCACCACTAGCTCTTTTCCAACCGAATTCTGTGTCAGCCAAGATTGTCCTTAGAGAAAGGGATAGCCAGACAGACATGCAAAACGCATGTCCTAACCAGGTCAATCGATGTAACTTCACAGGTTGATTGTTTGACTTCCCTTTCGTACTTAATAATTGACGCCTAACCCTAATATTGCTTACCCTGGAGAGAGAACAGAGACACTTAGGATCAAAGAGAGCTAGCCTTTTCATACCTCCTATTTTCAATGGCCATATCTCAGCCATAAAGGACAACGGGACGGATTGCCAATTAGAACATGCTCCGTTTGGTCAATAGCAAGTCGGATATCAAGTCCACGCCTGAGATGGCCTAAGTTGACAAATCCCACATGAGCCTTTGTTTCCGTGCTGAGATTTCTTCAGCAATCAGTTGATTTTGACTGATAAAACTTCCCAAATAAGTGAAGTGGTCAACACACTCTATTGCTTCACTTCTTATCTTTAGCCCAGGAATCGGTGTAGTTCAGTCTTGCAGCATCGTCTCTCATTTAAAAGGAGCGAATTGTATACCAAACATTTAAGGATTGCTGCTCAATGTATTCGGGAGACCCTGTATATTTTATCAGCATTTTCACCTAGGAAGACTACATCTTCGCATATTCTAAGTCAACAACACTATACTCTAGTAAAAAGTCAATCCCTGAGTCGCTGAAGTCAGCAGTTAGTGTTACGTCCATTAGTATATCCATGGTGAAATTAAATAGAAATGGGGATAGTAGGCATCCCTGATGGGCACCACTGGTTGTCATCAATTCAGATGACAACTCTCCATAGGCTTCTACCTGGCTGCATGAGTTCGAGTTCCAGTGCCTTGATCAGTGGGATGTACTTTCTCCGTCGACGGAGTGGAATGTGGCCTTCAGGTCAAAAAATGTGGCAATCATTGGACACTAGTAAGTATGCCTATGTTTTGGAATCTGCTGAAGGGTGAAGATGTGATCAACACAAAAAATTGTCAATAATAAATGGGCATAGAAATGTGAGCACAGAATTATATGAGTTTCAAGTCCGAGTGTCACATTTCAAGAAAGCACGCACACACACAGACACAGGGAACAAAACAGAAGGAAATATACTGCAACAATGAATAAGTGATATGCTAGAGAAAGTAATCTATTTAAGGGTAAGGAGGAAGAAATGCCTAGAATTTCTAAAATGATAAGAAGAAGGTGAACACATTGAAGGTGTGTTAGACGCTTTCCAGTCATTTCACACCAAGTGTCTCTCTGGCATACCGAAAAATCCATTTAGGAAACGTACAGATCTCGTAGTGGCTTAGATTAATAATTAGCGATCAATATGTGACTAATCACCTGGTCCAAAATAGGAAATTGTTTATGACTTGAATGGCCTTTGCAGTAAGCAAATAAAGTTTGGATTTTCGGGGAGAAAAAACCTCCAATGTATTTTCTTTAGAGTCTATCAGGTAGTCATTATAAAATAAACAATGTCAAATGACGGCTACGGATTATGTTAACTGACCCAAGATCAGGTCGCGAATGATCTAGTGGTGCTTAAACCATATTATGCAATCAGACCATGAGATCTTTAACAGGTGATTTGAATCAACCATGTACGGAGGTGTAGATTATCTGACTGATTGGGGTCCTCAGGATGCTAAGGACCAGTGACTGGAGATAGATGACTGGTGATCTGGTGTATCCAAAAAGAACTTCCTGTTTTTCCATGCTTCTGTTCCTTCTCGCTCACAATTCTGCTCAGTTATAGTTCTTTTGAATTGCTGTTTTCTTCACCTTTTTGTGCTGTATGCAGTGTGGTAACGTCAACTGGTGTACTTCTGTGTAAAAGTTCTATGTTGAGGCCAGTCAGTCATATGGATGACAAAGAATGGTGCTGTACGCACAAATAAATTCAGTAGGGGAAATTTGGTTTTTATTAGAGCTGGTCAAATGTATAACTTTTAAGTATGGGTGTACAACTTTGAAGCGAGTTAGCACATATTTGAATGTCATTCTCCCGCCCTATTAAGGTTATATGATCACAGGAGTATTGACATTAAGTGAACCTGATGTTCTACATTGTATGAATGTGTATGTATATTGCCATTGTTACTTTCAGGAATGCACTACCAGTTGTCTTCTTAATGTGTTGCATCACCACTTAGGGTTATTCGTGTAGGCCGTTGATTTACAACTAACTGAGTCATGGGTACGAATCTCACTTTATCTACTTGAGATTAGGGCAACCAGGTAGTTTCATTAACTCTCACACAACTGATGTGCTCAGATGATTAGAATTTTAGTGGTGTAAACATCCTTAAGTGTTTCAATCTGGGTATACAAGCAGTTCAGTTATAATACCTTTACCGTATTTATGAGGCTAATTTGAATCGCGATCAAATCGAGAAATCGGCATAAAATGCTTCGAAGTATTTTTTTTTTTTTTTTTTGAGTTTGCCGCATGACAACGGTTTTGTGATCAATGTCAGTTCGTAATCTAACACGAAAAAGAAAGTGAAATATTTGATGGTTAATGCGACATCAGTCCAAACCACTTCACCGATCAATGTCAAAATGACTGCACAGAAGTGCAGAAGTTCGAAATGTCACGCTACGTATTACCAAACAGAGCAGAAGAAGAGAAGGATTCAAACGGGAGATAATGGAAAATAGTAGTAATGTGGTAGAAGAATAGAGTTTTATTGGATATAACAAATCACAAAGAGTGAATGCATCTGCTTCACTGAGGACGATTTTGACCCACATCACTAATTGTCTGTAGGCATTGGTTCTTACCATCCCGAGGACCCCAACCAGAAGGGCAGTGCACACCTCCCTACGTGGCTTGTTGAAATCAACTGTTTAAGATTTCATGGACTGATTCTAAAGCTTGTTTTCACTATCGCAGGATCTCTTCCAACCTCATCCTATATTAGCTAGCAATGGCCTTACAGCAGGGCAATGGCTAGTCATGCGTAACACATATTCTAGCAATCTCAAACGATTCACCTTCACAATCGCATCGCCCCTAACCTCAATATTACTCACTGTATTATACCACCTAACACGAAAAATAGAACATAGACATCTATGATCAAAGACAGCTGGCCTTTCCATGTTTCCCACTTTCAGTGATCGCCTCACGGCTATAAGTCAGGACGGAAAGAACTGTTTGGTATACAAGTCCTTTGGTCGATAGCCAGCTGGATATCACGTCTACGCGAGAGATGGCGTAGGTTGGCAAATGCCAAATATTAAACATCTGAATCAAGTAGGCCAATATTTGTTGGTCTTCGAGACATCATGTTTGAACTAATAAGTATACGGAAATTAGTCATAGTGTATACTGAATTCACACTGAATAAAGATGAAAAGTTAAAGATGCGCAGTTTGAATGAATCTTTTCTCTATATTTCCTTTTAGCTAACCATGTTCCCTCTGGAGCAGGAGTTAATGTGGATTCTGAAGGTATGATGCCTCCCCCGCCACCGCCGCCGCCACCACCACCACCACCTTACAAGATTCCTGATCATCTTGAACCGTTTGATGAACCGGTTTTCATGAATAATCCATGGACACCACCGAACTATCCTTTATACCACCCATATCCCCAGCTCCCTTATCCACGTCACCAGCATCATTGTCAATCGAAGAAAATTCCCCCCATGGAACAATTCGATCCGAAACGATTTGTAACTAGTTCAGTCAGCCTGACAAAATCACCAACACTTCCAACATTTGATAATCCATATGACTTGTTGTATATGAAACAGAACTGCCTGCCTGAATCGTTTCCTCCTCCTTCTCTCCCTCCACCTTCCGCACCTCCAGGTGCTCTAATACCAAGGCGTTTAATGTGCTCACAGAATCAGGAAGAATTATCCGGATTGATGAAATATGATGGTAAGTGCTCTCTCTTTCTCTCCCTCCTTCCATCTATTGCCTTGGTTTGACCTGACCTCTCAGGTACGATAATTTTTGGAACTGAAAAACCTGTGTAAATAACAACTGGCTAACAGTGTTTATTGTGCGTCGTAGTAAGAAAGTAGACCAAAAGTCAAATATTGGAAACTGCTACTTCGTTCCTGAGATAGTTGTCTTTGTGCTTGAGGAAGCATTTCACTTGTTTGTGTCTTAAGGTGCGTGTGGAGTAAATCTTTCTAAACAGGCAAAGTTCGACTTTAGACGCCTAAGAGGCGTAGACACACTAATGACCTCGGAGCTAGTAGATGCGATGAAAAGCAAATTTCGGCCCTTGACTCAATCCCTAATTAAGGTCCCCAGCCTAAAAGTAGTCTTGATCCTTCCCTTACGTAAACTTAACCAAATACACTGAGATTTAAACACTCCATTCACGTCCTCAATTTTTATCCCACAGTATTGTACGTTTTGTTAGTATCAAATCCCCACTAGGAAGCAATATTTTCCTCTTTTTTTCAGCTATGCCACCATTTACAGCTATTTCTCAAGCGTTTGGTTTCCCCATCCAGTGGTGCTATCGTGGTGTGTGTATGTTGCCGCGTTTCCCGGTAACCTGTGCACCATTCAATAATTTACCAGTGTCGTGTGGAGCAGCGACTGTAGCTGCTTTCGTTCTAACCACAACGACTTCGCATATATGCTCCTTGGCGGCGGCGGCAGCTTGTGAGTATAATACTTCTAATAAAAATAATAACAACAATACGACCAATAATAATCAAAACCAACCATTTGTTGGCAATTATCAACCGGATATGCATAGTGGCGCTATTCTAGGACCACACAACAACAAGCCAGAGTTATTTCTTCCATCAAAATCTAATATTCCGTTCGATCCTGCATCAGGAGGTTTTAAAAATTTCTCCGAAGTGGATTTTGTCAATCTATTAAAAGAAAATCAACAATTAAAACAACGCCTTGTGGATATTAGTGCTAGGCTTCAGTACATTGATGAGGCAAGTTTATTATTATTATTATCATTTGTATTTAGCTAACTGTAATTAGACATAATGGAGAAGAGTTGTAGCTCAGGTGGTTGATTTTGGTGTAGTTGTGTTCTCTGACCTGTATGGTTTAATTGCGAAGCTTTCGTTGTCTTTCTAGACAGCATCTTCAGCGCATAATTCAGATCGGAGTGAGGTTTTAGAATTCTCCACGAGTTTATTAGTCATCTCTCCTGGTAGACTTGAATGTAAGGAATGTTCGTTTTTGTGCATTTTTTCACCCTCTAGTCCACTTGTATATTGGTATTGATTGTTTCTTTGGTATGAAAGTTGATCTTTTGTTCGTGTGATTTCCTTCTTATGGATCAGTGAACCTTCTCAACGTCATTGTGTCTGTTGATCCACGTGAATATCAGGCGTCTCGAAATTCTCTGGCGTTTTTGGTATTTTCCCTGTTTAAGATTTAAATACTACCCTAATCGATTTGATTTTCTTGGTTGTCTGTATGCGGTGGTATGAGGGAGTAGTAATTTTGTCTTTTGATGACCAGTTCATGAATGTCCATGCATGCGAAGACGAAGAGGGTGTCCACTTTGACCAATGTGATGTTTATACAATTGTTGCAATTTGTCCTGTAGCTAAAGGGACATCTGAGACCCTACGTAGGATTCTAAATAAAGCAGGAATTAGGGTGGCTCAGGGTTAAAGGACCCAGTTGACCCAATTAGACTAAATAATATAATTTGCAAAATGCCCCTGCAATGACTGTGAGGTCAACTACATAGGTCAAACTAGTAGGTCAAAGGGTAGTCAGAATGTCAGAACATAAGAATTCAGCTAAGGTAAGAATGGTTGACCCCGAGAAGATGGAAAATACTACTACAAATCAGATCAAGCCAAAATCAAGTGAAAAATAATGGAACTAGATAAATGAAGTTAGGAAGTCGTGTGAATACCTTGATATAATTATGAGCAATAAATTGTGTTCGAAATGTCACCAGTAAACATAACTGTAGTTTGGAACTCTTCAGTAGTATACTTCCGCCGGGGTTCAAACTCAGGACCTTCAGTTTACAAAGTTATAGGATGGATTTGCCTGAAGTTCTAGTGAGAAGTCATGACCGACTGGGTGGGTCCACGCTGTCGGGAGTGAGGACAAATACTCACTGATCACACTGGCTGATAATATCACGCTAAGATTACGAGTTGTTAGTAGTTGGGATATATGGGCTAGCCACTGAGTTGGGTCCCAGTGGCTAAATGGTCTCCTTGTAACCAGAGGGTCCTTGATTCAAACTGCAGTGGGTGCGCACTGGTGGAGAGTCACAAACTAGGGCAAAATAGAGCTGTCCATTACTCTCTGCTAGTGTTCCAGGGGTTCTCTAACTGACGTCACCTTGTGATCAAACTTGAAATATAGGGATTTTCACAACTGGTGCAATTCAGCTTGTTGGTGGTGGTGTTTATCTTGTCTGCATAGTATCAAGTAAAGCGACTGATTATGTTGGTTTGTTTACACTGTCGTCTATTCACTCTTGCTTTCTTCCAGATAAACTATTTGAAGCCAGTCGTGTTGTGTTCAGGTTTATAGTTAGTACGTTATAAATTAGTAAATCTCCCGACCTTTAGACCTACTTACGGGTTTGCTCGGTGATATAGAAACAGACATATTGTATGCATTCATTTCTTCAGGTGTTTAGAACTAATTATTTGTGTCATGTTTTTTCTGAATACTTTCTGCACGCATCGTGTGTGTGTGTGTTTGGGTGTGCATACATGTATGAAAAACTTCCTTTTTTTCTTCATCTTTGAAACTTCTGTGTCATGTGGAGCTTGTGAATGAGATTTCTTCAAATATCATAGTAAAATATTTGGATGCATACCAAACATATGCGTAAAACTTGGGCACTGTGGTAGTAAATAATTCCATATTAGTTTGTTTATTAGTAGATATTATCTATCACTCAGTTGAACAAACAGTATTATTACTTACTGGATTGGATACTGGAGCTCGTAGACGCGTAGGTATTTAGGAATGGTTTCATTTTTCAAGCATCGAATATTGAAAATACGACGATGATTTGCATATCTTGCTTCAGTTTGCGAAAGTTGACTGATTGTATTGATATTAGTCTTGGGTGGGTAATGTGGTAGTAAGTAATCCAGTGAATGATACAATACTGTTTCACTATGTTGTGATACATCGGATAAACTAATATGCTGCATATAAACAATCTGCATAATAACAGTAATAGTAATTACTCGAAGTAATACGCCTAACAGATTGTTATTTTTAATCTTTTTGCTTACATGGATTAAGTATCAATCAACCCTTAGATGGATTGTTTATTATTGACACAGTAATTTAATAAAAATCTTTGCACAGAATATCTTAAAAGCGAAATAAAGGAGTTTTTGTTGTTAAATTACAAATATTTCATTTCTTAGATTTGTTAGCAGCGGTGTTATATGAACGCACAGCCCTCAAATGTCAGATGGATCACATTGTGGTCTGATTTAGTGGGGATGTGTTTGATTTTGAGTAGTTAATCAATCAGTCATCTTCCGACCAACGCATCCCTGGTTTGGATATCGCAACCCACCTACTTCGGTCTGGGCAGCCACCTGGGTAGTATATACATATATATAATCAGTCTTCACGTGTGCACATAAAACATCTGTTTCAAGGTGATCGGGAATTTGGTTTTTATAGATTCACAAATGCATAAACTCCTCTTCGGATTATTTAGTTCACAAACGCCTTATTACGTATTTCCTTTTTGTGCGGCTTACGAATGATGACTCACTTAATTAATTAATAACGTGTAACTAATCAAATACTTGCAAGCTGACACTTGATCAATTAATCTGATGCTCATTAGAAACTGACTGTGTCCAGGAGACCACCTGGCGTTCTAGTGAGAAGTCGTAAACAGGGAGATCCACCACTAAATTAGGAAATGAGAATAGTTACCACCCGCCTACGACATTGGTAGCGGTTGGAATTAATGGGCAATTGGAACGGGTCCCAGTGGTTGAATAGTCTACGAGCTAGCTCGCCTTATAACCAGACTGTCCTGGGTTCAAATTGAAATGGGTGCACATTGCTGAAGAGTCAGTCACGAACTAGGGCAAAGTAGCTGTTCAGTGCTCCCAGGTTTTCTAGAGGTGATGCCAAATCGTGACCGTACAATTGATGCAGGTATGCAGATATAAACAGGGAAAGCGTAAATCAATCGTTAAGTAAATAGTAGATGTGAGCTCACACATGCAGTGGTTGGACTTCATGCCATTGGTGCAGGTGTCAGTATAAACGCGCTGATATGTTCATTCTATAATATTCATGCCCCTAATTCAAACTTAACAGTCCGGTATGATGTCATTGTCCTTATTTAGGTTTAACAATATCATTCGCGCGTACAACTAATAGTTCTTCCCTAACTTTTTACACAACTCACAAATTTTCTATGTATATTCAGTTTCCTGTTATCATTGTTGTTGTTCTTATTCCTTCCTCAAAAATCTGCCCTCTCCCGCCATGACTCATGTCTAGCTTGAATGGCATGTACAACGATTAAGTTTACTAGTGGAATCAATGATTGTATCACATCAGCGTCAATGTGAATTAGACTATCAACTACAAATCTATTCACCAATCTCAAGTCAAAATGGTGCTGGAATGGATTTCGATTGTAACAAACCATCAGCTCAGCCGCCACCTGGACCACCGCCTGCACCACTAGCCAATTCATCATCATTATCATCATCGTCAGTAGCAGCAGCGGCAGCAGCAGTATCACCTTTTGGACCAATTGATCAATTGCATAATATGCCAGCAAATCCTGGCAGTTTACCTGCTATGCCGACTAATATGATGACAAATTATAGGACGAATCCACCATATATTATACCTCAGTGTATGAATAGGCGAGTTACACAACCAAATATTATGCCATCACGATTTCATGCTCCACATGTATTACAGTCAGTACAACAACAACAATCTGAAAAATCTGAGGTATGTAGCCACATCTTATTGGATTGTTTTATTATTATTATTATTTTTTCAAGCATTGGTTTTATAGGGATTTTGTTTGACTGTATGGAGGATTTCATCATGAGCTGACACCAGTTAGAGAACCGCTGGAAAACCTGGGAGTAGGTTACAGCAGGTTGAAGATAAGGCAGTAACTCATCGAAGAGGACACTGCGAAATGGTCGCGCTATGTCGTGAATCGACAGAAGTTAGAATTCCTGAGCCATTGGATCGGATCCCAGTGGCTCAACGGTCTACGAGCTCGCCTTGTAATCAGAAGATCCTGGGTTCAAACCCGGTGGGCTCGTACTGCTGAAGAGTCCCAAACTAGGACCGGGGAAACAGCTGTCCAGAACTCCCTGCAGGTTTTCCAGTGGTTTTATAACTTATGTCAGCTCATGATGAAATCCTCCATATTATTTTTTTGAAAAAGATGTAAAATCAAAAACTTTTTTTTAATTTTTTTTTCTGATGAATCATTTCACAAAGCTGTAGTGACGCGTATTCATTCATATTCAACAGAGGAATCGATTAGATAATGGTCAACTATTTCATAATAGTCCTAGTTGCTAACTAAGTCGTGTAATAAAAGCAGAAATTTACATAGTAACCTGATCATGTATTTCAGATCTCAGTAGTTCCTTTTAAGATCTCGTTCCGACTCTCTTTTAAACTCTGTAGTGGAAATTTTTCGACCATGGCGTTTGGGGAAATGTGAACTGGCCACGGCAAGATGCTGAAAAATTAAACTTTTAGTGGTATTCTACTAATTCAGAGATTGATTTTTTTGTTTTGCTAGAAAATGTTACTGATAAACAAACTGACTGTGTCTCGAATGTCTTCTTTACTGATCTGAACAGATAGATGATTTTTAATAGGATTTTTCTGGCGCAGTATTACCTCTGACTAAATTTCAGATAAATTCAGAGGATTGTTTTTAGGAAAAATCATGTCCCCTTTGTGTTGTTTCTTCACGTACATTCACATCTCACAGGTTATAAATCTAGATGGATGTTTTTGTTATTGAATAAGATGTCAAGTTGACATTTGATTCAATTCAATGTCTCTCTTATTATCTTCAGAGCAAATCTCCTAAATATAAAAGCTAAATAGATGTATATGTTTTTGTTTAATTATTATTTACTTGGGTTCTGAGTGGAGCATGGGGCTTCAACAGCACATCTCCATGTTGTCCTGTTCTCTACAGTCCTCTCTGACTGGCTCCACTATTACCCATATACTCTCATCTCCTCCTCATACGATCTCCTCCATATCACCCTCATCTGTCATTCGAGTTCCACTCGAGTGATGACGTGGTACACCATGTTATTCAACGGTCTCAGAGTATTTACTATCTATCTCCCTTTTCTTTGGAATATTTGTTGAGCGATAGGTTCTTAGTTGGCTGGCTCGTTCCCGTAGTTTCTTCTGTTTGATTCTTTTTGGCCATCAGATCTTCAGTATGGAGTCAGAGAAGGTATCTGTTGACAAAACTCTGCAGTATCCTGTCGGAAATACTTTTTGTGACGCGTTGGCAAAGTTTCTGAGCCATATAGAGTGATTGTCTTGACATTGATGTTGAGAATCAGACTTTTTTGTTCTCTTCATCTTGAGGGCAGCAGATTTCCAAATTGATTTTCAGAGTGATGAAAGTCTTTCTTTCTTGCTTTTTTCCTACTCTGGTTTTGACACGGTCACCTGTGAAGTGTCTGCCTGTATTTGAGAAACGATGCTTCTCTTAGACAAGTGAAGGAAGTGACCACTTTTTAAACTGTCCAATTCATGTGGATTTCTCAGCAAGTAAAAATACATCCATGAATATGATAGCATAGAATTCGATCTATTTGAATGATTTGTACATCAATAATATTTGTATCGAAAATGTTTCGGGAAGCATTATTCACGTGAAATTCTTCTTCACCTCTGTGATAACAAATGTGATTAAAATAACTTTCATACGTCTGTCTTCCGTATTTTTTTTCTACCTCGTCTCTCAAATTTTCCGCTTAACTATTCGGACATTATTTTTTAAAACATAACTTTTACTGGACAAAGTAAAAACTGTGAGGTTTTTTATATTGGTTCGTCACTGACTGAGGTGTTGAGGTGAGTCGGGTGCACAGCAGTAGGAGTGCTCACCGACCATGCAGGTGGTCCGGGGTTCGATCTCCGGCCACCGACGCACTCATTTACCTCGTTAAGCCAGTAGTAAGACTGGTGAAGAGAGAAGGTTAGGCATGAGGCTAGTGACCCCATCCTGTGAAAATAATCACCACTGCTACAGGAACTTCAAGCCCCTAGCTTGACCCCCCCCCTGTGTCCCACTGGGAACGCGAAGGAATAAAAAAAACTAATGTGGTGATTGGCGCATTCTGTCGCTGAAATTCGCAACATACCCTCTGAGCGAGGCTGCTGCCATCCCACTTAAAATTGGAGAGTAACTGGGGTAGAGTAACCGGAATATCATGTTCTATGTGATCTTTGGTGTGTAGTTCTTTTTTATTTCCAGTTAACGTCACATTTTAAAATAATTATTGGATTGAATGAAAGCAACACAACACCTCAGTTAATAACAATAAATAATTTTTCCTTCACGTTCCTTAGTGGAACATAGGGCTTCAAGCTAGTGGCTTGAAGTTTCTGTAGCAGTGTTTATTTTTACAGGATAGGGGTTGCTAGCCTCATGGACAACTTTTCCTCTTTACCAGCATTTTTTCTGGCTTAGTGAGGTAAATGAGTGGGTCGGTGGCCGGGGATAGAACCCTGGACCGTGTGCATGGTCGGCGAGCGTCCTAACCGCTGTGCCACCAACACCTCAGTTAGCAACTTACTAAACTTGAGTAAGTGACAAATATTCACATATGCAGGCTAAAATACTGAGTATGTATATGTATATTCGCCTCAACTTACCATGAAACACTGCTACTAGCTGCAGGACGAAGTTCCTTCGAATATTCTAGTGAGAAGTCGTGAGTGGTGAGGTTCACCAGGTAGGGAGTGATGACAAATACTCGGTGGTGGTGGTGGTGGTCTATGAGCTCTCCTTGCAATCCGGAGGTTCTAGATTGGGACCCCTGTAGTTTGTGCATACTACTGAAAAGTGCCAAACTAGGCTGATAAAACAGTTGCCCTGTATTCTTCCTTGCTTGTTTTCATTGGTTCTCTAACTGAAATCAATCCCTGATCAAACTTGAGAACAAATCAAATCCCTAAAAACAAACTGTTTTTGCGCAACTGTTCACTTCGTCTAGATTTTCACAATGAATTTATTTAAACTAGAAATTATTCTTCTAAACTCGTCTATGAATATTTCTTCTTCTTGTTGTTGTTGTTTCTTCTTCCATCTACTAATATTACCACTACTCTAGCAAAGAATTCCTATGTCAAATTCCAATAAACGTTCTATGGATCCACGTACTGTCTCTCTGGATCGTGCATCACAGCCAAGAAACACGTGTACAGCATATAATGATATCGGTTGTAGTTGTATAAGATGTCCAATGCATGAAGTCTATCCACCGTATTCCAGAGATCATGCCTATGTGAATACAACTAAAAACGAAGATATCTTTTCTATGCCTAATATACCTGTATTGAACTCGAACAATGCAAATTTCTCGCCTAGTTATCGTCGACGTCTTTGTCCTGTACGAACAACACAAATTCCACCATTGATTAGTGCAGTTCATTTAATCCCACATTCCAGCTTATTTCCATGTTCACCTCCACCACGTGTATTGACTACTTCTAATCCTATTTGTTCTAATAAACCATTGTCTCATCCAGCTATCAAAATAACTGAAGAAAATATCAGTGAGTTTTTATGTAATGCAAATATCTTAATTTTTAAGTCAATTGGTCGATATGATGACTAGCGGTAGAATCCAGGATGCGCACTTCTTCCCACTTGAGACTCGTCGTCTGGGTTTGCCTATATTCCCCTGTGAGTGATGGTGTCCTCAATGAGGCTCGAACCCTTGACTTCAAGTGACATGACCAGACATTGTCGAAGCATGTGCACAAGGAGCCGATATGTCAACCTGAGACTGAGCACTTCAGTACAATCGACGGGAAAATCTAAATTAAATTAAACAGTTGTAATTTTATTTGATGAATTGTCAGTGTGAAATTGATAGTAAACGACAACAGTAGTATCTGTGTAGGTAAAGCAATTTTTATAGACTACAGATATAGAGTGCATCGTTGGTTCAATAGTGTTAATGTTTACTGACCACGCGGGAAGTCAAGATTACCAATTCCTGATCGACGCACTCATAAACTCATCATAGTTGACAGCAATCACAGAGAAGATGGAAGGCTAATAACTCTCTCTCTCCAGTAAAAATAAAAACACTATACCTCTACTGAAAGTTCAAAGCTTACAAACTTATTGTTCCATTCAGAACATAACTGGTACATGAAAGCCATTGTTGGTTGATCGAAACTCTGTAGATAACGCTGTCTTTTTCAGTCTTCCCGCTTCTCCCATCTAGATTACTGGCTGGTTTCAACATAGAAATTTGCACAGACGTGCATCAGTTCGAGTTTGCCACTCTTTCTGCTTGTAGCACAAAGTAAGAGAAGAGAGTAGAGAGAGAGAGAGAGATACAAAAGGGAGATAATAAACAGAAGTGTGAGTCAGGCAAAAAGAAAAGTGATATGGAAGAACAATAGATTTTCATCAGATATGACAAATCACAACGAGTGAATGCATCTTCGCTAATGGGAACGATTTCGAGTTATACCACCGATTGTCTCTAGCTATTGGTTCTTGCCATCCCACGGGCGTAAACCAGTCAGGAAGTCTTCGCCTCCCTACATGGTTTAAACTAACTGTTATGCATTTCGTTGCTATGGTTTGAGCACTACTAGCTCTTTTCCAACCTGATCCATCCTGTGTCAGCTAACATTACTGGTGGAAGGAGGCGATGGTTAGGCATAAGTAGCACATGTCCTAACCATCTTAGTCGATTTAACTTCATAACCTTGTCGATTGATTCCCCCTCCTTAACTAGCACTCGACCGATGCCTAAGCACAACATTGCTCACCTTTTTGTACCACTTAATACTGAAGACAGTCCGGAGACATCTATGGTCAAAGAGAGTTAGCCTTTTCATATCTTTTATCTTCAATAACCGTGTCTCACAGCCATAAATCGAGGATGGAACGAACTACTGAGTAGTACACACGCCTTTCTATCGATGGCTGGCGGAATATCACGTCTACGCGATAGATGGCGTAAGTTGACAAATCCCACATGAGCCTTTGTTTCCGTGGTGAGATTTCATCAGCGATTAGTCCGTTGGGGCTGATGCAACTCCCAAAATAATTGAAGTGGTCAACGCGTTCTACCACTGCACCCCCTATCTTTAAGCTAGGAATAGTACTAGTGTGTATGTGTGTGTACTAGAGTTACAGATCTCTTTTTTAAAAATACTGTCTCTTAATTTGGCCATGCTTTGCTTTCCTTCAGCTCATTTCTTCTTCAAATAGCCGTGACCTTTAGGTTGGACGATTTGTAATGTAGTGTAAATGGCAACTTCGTTGGAAGATGTTTACAGCTTCGCCAGTTGATTCATTTCACTAGAGTACCCTAAACCTTAAAATTTATCACAGATATACTTTCCTTTCAGTACTTGTCAGTTTTCTTAGCCATTTCTGTTGATAATGCGTATGCGAAGAGAATATATTGAAGTTGTTAGTCTTAAGTACTATCGCGTATATGCATTTAGATTTACATGTATGCGCCACTTATCACCATTCTTAGTGATGTCGAACTTAACTCACTTTTCAACATAGAACTTTGCAGCAGTTCAAGTTGTCACGCCTTATAAGGAACATACAAAAGTAGGGAAAACTGTTTACAGGAATAATTAAAATTTGATGAATCTGCGAGTTCATAAATAAGTTGATGCATCTGTGCTCCATTGAGAATAATATTTGGAAAGTGCCACCAACATTCCCAGCCATTAGTTTTTAACTTGTCAAAAACCCCAACCACACCCCGTATACGGCTTGCTCAAACCAACAGATTTGTTGGTCACGGGTTTAAATTTCACTACCCCTTACTCTTTTTATGCCATCTGATCCTGTGTAAGCTAATATTGTTCGGCGAGAAAGTCGGTGGCTCGAAATGTATAGCGTGTGACCTGGTCATTTCAATCGGCGCAGTTTCACAACCTTATCTAACTCCTCCTTGCTAACTAACGCTTTCTACTCTTAATCTCAATAAAACTCACCGTGTAATACCACTTAACATGGGAGGTAGAACGAAAACACCTGCTATCTGAGACTGCTACTCATATAAAGTCTCTCACTTCTCACGGTCATGCTACATAAAAGGAAGGGACGATACTAATTGTTCAGCGGCTCACACGTTCTTTGATGGATAACAGGATATTACGTCTACACCAAAGTTGTTGCAGGGTGGTAAATAATTACCGTTTATACTTACTTTACTTCGGCTATCTCCTACGGGAGGATGAGCCGGCTTCATGAACATCTCGAATCATCGCTGCTCAGGCGCGGCGATCTGATGCAAGATTTTGCTACAGGGCTATCCAATTTTTGTTCCACAGGCGGAGTCCGTAGACAGTTTGTAGCCCCAGGCACCCCATATCAACCTTGACTGTAACAAGCCATGTTTTCAGCTGTCCACCCCTGCGACATCGCCAAGATGGAAATGGTGAGGGATTTAGAACTGATTTGACCTGATCGGCGCAGAACATGGCCAAACCACCAAAGGCGACGTTGTTGGACCAGTACTGGAATTTGGTTGATGTTGTAGAGAGTTCATGAAGTTTCATGGGAATTAGGTACGAGTAATGTCCCCAGTATCGCTCGGCCTTTTGTTTGAGAGTGCAGCTCTAGCCTTTACACAGCCAAGTGTGACCTACAAGGCAGTAGGAGTGGAGTAGGGAGTCCACTATCCATTGGCAGCCGGTGACCGGAGTCCGGTTCATATGTCTTTTTGAATGGGACCAGACATCCAGGGTATCCAATAAGCCCTTTGTCCATACGTCTGCCGGTGTGCTCCGGTGAGCTTCATACGCCAGTCGTTGGAGGTTTGGAATCAGGGTTTAGCCATCTCCCCTAGACTGTCATCCAACGGACAGTCAACCCGGTGAAGAGCGTTAGGCATCCGCTTTCGCCCTCTCACTTCGGCGAAAAACACCTCCGCCACGTGAAGGCAGTGAGTAGGACTTACCGTTTATCCTTCCTGATAATATATATATATTACAAGTGAGATCCTTGGGCGGAGTCTGTTAGAGAAACATTGAATGTCAACAGGGAGTATTGGGTACTTTGATCTGGTTTGGGACTCTTTGAGAGTAGGCATCCACGACCTTACCAGGAGTCGAGCTCAGGACGTAAAGATTACTGGGTCAAGCTTATTCACCATTCAGCTACGTGGGCCGAAATTCAGTGACGCCACCACCAACTGGCGATATACGACACCTCCGTCATCTATATACACACTGTCTAAATATTTCAAATGATAGAGAATTTGAATGTGTAACAGTGCTTCAATTCTTGCACTATAAATCTTTTTCAAATGTTTTAATTACATCTAAATGTGTTATTCCTGTCTGGGTAATAATGTGTTGTGTTTACTCGCGCATTATTTTCGTTATTTTCTTTGTCAATTGTATTATTTCCTTCATTTAAAAATAGGAAATCGAATGCCCAAAGAGTCAAGTCAGTCAGGTACAACTGGCAATAACAACAATAATAGCAATGGTAATAGCAATAGCGATAATAGTAACAGTAGGCATAACAACAGACCAACTGGTCTTAATTTTATGACTGAAAAATCTGATATCTTCGATGATAGTAATATGCTTTTAAGGCATTTATCACCGCATAATGAAATTCATTGTGTTAACACGTGTACAGTGGTCACATCCTATCATCTAGATCATTGTTATCCATTGTGTGTTGTTGATAGAGTTCCTGCCTCTGGAATAAACTGTAATAATAATAATAACAATAATAATGTCCGTAATGAAGTGGATAGTCAAATAATTGAGGGTAATACGGACAATAATACTACTAGCATTGCTACTACTACTACTACTACTAATAATAATAATAATAATACTAACAAGAGTAATAATAGTAATCTGCCTCAGTTGAACACTAATAGTGCTGTGATTGCAACCACGCTATCAGTAACAAGTACAACGCAAACAACAACTTCAACAGTAACGCCTGCTAGCAAAATGTCAACCATCACCACCACCACTTCGTCGGCGTCATCGTCTTCGTCTCTGATCAAATCCAGTAAAACAACACATGCTGTTGAAAATACTAAACAGTCTAAAGAGAAAGTGGGTTTTACTCAGCCAAGAAGTACAGCATCAACAACTACCGGCAGATTACAACGAAAATCATTGTGTCCTACTACTACTACTACTGCAAAACCATGTCCTACTTCAACTCATTCTACTGGACATCAGCAACAACAACAACAACAGCGGAAAGTTTCTTACGCATCAACCAAACGAACAAAACAAACAGGTAGTAGTAATGGGGGTGGTAGTTGTAATAATAATAATAAGAAGAATAAGAGTAAAAATTCTGGTGCTAGTGGACTCACAGTTGCTGCTGCTTCACTAGTCTCATCAATAAAGAAAATCACTTCAAGCGTTAGTACGTCTGTATCATCACCAAAGGCACTGGATAAGGTGAGATTTTCAAATTACGATGTTTACTGTTTATTTTTGTTTATTTATTTTGTTTTCTTGAATTTTCTTTTATTTAAAACAAATCTTCTCCTGTGTATTCGGATGCTGTGTGCTGTTATCACTTGTGTGTGTATGTGTGTTACCCTTGACTTATACTGCCTTCTGTCTGTTTTCGACATAGAACTTTGCACCGATGTGCGGCAATTCAAGTCGCCACACTCCACGTATAACACAAAGCAAGAGAAGAAAGTACAAGAAAAGCATAATAGAGACAATAAACAGAGGTGTGAGACAAAGGAATGGTAATAACGACGAACAATATAGTTTCATTTGAAATCATAAGTCACAAGGAGTGGGTGCATCTGCGCTAGTCATTGAGAACAATTTTGAGCCATATCACCAATTGTTTCCAGCCATTGGTTTTTACCATCCCGAGGACCCCAACCCGGAAGTCTACACCTTCCTACGTGACTGGCTTAGAATAACTGTTGTAGATTTTATTGACTGGCGAAGTCATGTTTTTGTTTGACCGCTGCTAGCTCTTTTCCAGCTTGACCCTGTGTCAGCTAACATTCCCCGTCAAGGAAGGCGATGACTAGGCAAACGTAACACATGTCCTAACCATCTCAGTCGATGTAATTTCACAGCCTCGTCGATTGATTTCCTCTCCTTACCTAGCACTCGACTGCCTTCATAGATACACTAAGAATTGGGTGTGTAGGTGTGTACGTCAGGCATGAAGAAATTGTTTAATTGTGACTGTTACCGTGATAAAAATATGTACATTGTCCTTCAATCCCCATCTCTTGCCGTACCGCACACACATTTGTTTCTCAGTCGAATGAATGAAATTATTTGAAACAGACTATGCATCAGTCTAACTTGTGTTAGTAAGAACTAAGAGCATATTACCCTCCTTAATTGCTTGGATTGAATTAGTTGGAACGAGATCCACTCACTGATGAATGCCAACTGTTTTAATCGATTACCTCTCCATCTCCCTAATATATTCAAATTTGGATTGTTATGAAGACGTTGGAAATGCCTTCTCCCGATAGTAAAGGTTAGATTGCCACAGAATATTGCTAACCTAGCACAAATATTCTTCATCTTACGACGCCACGTCATAGGCTGACGACATCCCCTCTCCTTTCGTTCTATCACAGGGCTGGTGAACAGAGACCGGTATGGAATCTTGTAGGGTGACATTAATAGTACACCCCCAAGCCAGCGAACTCGGTGACACGAGTGATGATCTCAACACTACCGGACATCAGAATCAACTTACACGATGATGCCATCGAACGCAAGCAACGAAGATAACGATGATCAGATACGTAGAGTCACTGTATGTCCCCCGTTCGGAGAGACCAGGTTTCACAGGCGTGTAAAGTAAGACTGCGCACCGAAGCATTGTAAACCTGGTCTTTGACAGCCAGGCCAACGTGGCTCAAATTGGCGTATGCCATCCTAGCTTTCATGATATAGTTAGAAATCTAATCAGTCATACCTCCACGAGCACTCGCACAACTACTCGGATGCACGAACTTATCGACAACTTCAAGCGGTTCACTTGCTTCGAAGGAAGTGGAAATGGATTGTATAGACGCTGGGGAGACCGTTGGTTGACATCGCGTGCACCAGGCCGTAGCTCGAGTGGAAGGTGAATGGGAAACGACGAGAGAGTAGCGTTTGAGTGTGTGAAGTGAAGATGAGTGCACTTTGTCAGCCTTGGGATCAACTGAAGAGGAATTCAGAGAATAAGACCAAATGCAGATGTCCTGTTGAAGCCGTATTTTTCGCTCGGAATCCCAGGAAATAATAATAATCATTAGTAACTGAAGGCATATATAGAACACCTTGCTAAAAGGAGCAATAGTAGGATTATTTGCACCAACATTAGTTAGAGAAGTACTCAATATAAAAAAAGAATCGCATGAATCGCTCTGCTGTGTACTATTTTCAGGCTCCTTAGTAGTGTATGTCTGACTTTGGTTTATGCTTAAGTTCGTGTGGAATTAAATCACCTTACCGATGGATTAAGCCATCAGTCTTATGCGAATTTACAGAACTCAAAGCACCCTGATGTTTCAGGTGAAAGTACTGAGCATATGTGTTGTCACATAGTACCCTACTGTTGTCGAAAGAATCACGTTTCCTTGATTGCAACGTAATTAATTTTAATGCTATTGTTTCCTTCCTTTGCACAGATAATGTCCACTGTTGTTAATAATCGAAACTCAGATAATCCTGATGCTGATTACAGTGGCAGTTATGAAGGTGTATCGAATTCAAACTCTTCTCATCAGTCTCAATCATCAGAAGCCTCCAGCCTAGAACCGGATTCCACTTTATCTGAAGGTCTGTTAACGCGTAAATGTTGCAGTGTTAAACATTCCACATCGGAATTGAAAATTCCAACTTGTAGTAGTGTTAGTAGTTGCATTAAAAATCAACCCTCTTCTTCTAAAATATCCATCATTCCTGAATTGTGCACTTCACCTCGATTATCATCGTCTAGTCATTCTACAAATACTACTTCTTCTGTTCTTACATCTTTGCATACACTGGTAACTCCACTACGATCTACAATCACATCTGTTGTTGCCGGTCAAATGTCAACTTATGATTCTAATACAACTAATAGTAATATTGTTATTCCTAGTGTTTATATTAACAGTCCAACTTCCTTGACACCTTGTCATTCTATCGACTCGAATTCAATGCTTGCATATCCGCCAACATCACCTGTTTGTTCTTATAATTTCCCAAAAAAGCCAAATATAATGATTATGACAACTAGTAAATGCACTGGATCGCATTTACCAACACCGATTAGTCATACTAGTCATACTGGACAATCTCAGACCAGTAGCAGCAGTATTAGTAATAGTAGTCAAACAACATTTGTATCAAATATATGCGCACCACATCGTTCAATGATAAATATTCGACCGAGTAGTCTTTTGACCATACCACAGAAACCATCTTTACAAGTACACTTTACGCCGCCAACACGTCTGAATTCGTGTAATATCGCTAATAATAATAACAATAATAATAATACTAATAGTAATAGTAACAATAACAACAGCAATAAAAGAAGCCTACTCAGTTCATCTGTCGGAAGTCCAATTTTAGATTATTCAAGTGTAAATCAAAATTCTTCCGTTATCAATAGTATTGTATCACCAAATCTATTGCGTAAACAATACTACTATTATAAATAATGATAATAATACCAGTACCAATATTACCATTATTATTATTACTACTATTGATACAGGTTGTTTTTGCTGTTTTTTGTTAGTCTTACGGTTGCTCAAAATTATCTTTTTACTTTCCTTGAATTTTGTTTTTAAAAAATCCTCCCATATCACTATTTCTGAAGGTGTAGGGTGGAAGGAGGTAAGGCGGCTAGGGAACGTGTCTAGCTATTAAGCTGGACGCCTTCGCTATTTGTGGCTTTCCGTTTATGTGTGTTTGTGTGTACACTTAACTTGAAAAAAGACATCTTTCTTTCATTTCCTTACTACTTATTAAGGAGTACTAAGGTGGCCAATGGCGGAAAGGCTGGGGAGGGGAGGGGGTAGCTGCGTGGGAACACTAACCTTCAAGTAAATGAATATTTATATTATTATACATAATCATTAAAGTATGCTTTTGTTCGAGGGATTTTCAACAAACAGGTTTTGTACACATTTTCAGTTTCTTCATTTTGTATCGTTATTATTATTATTGTTATTATTATTAATATTATTACTGTTGTCGTTATTGTCAAAATTGGTCGCCAATCATGGGATCATTGACTTTTCTCTTGTTTTCTTTTTGTTGTTTTTGTTTGTTGGTTCATTCACGCAAATGTGTTTCGGTTCTGTGCTTTTCTTTCTAATTATTTGTGCAATTTGCAGAACTAAGCAACCAGGTACTTGTTGTGTTTCGCCATTATTTCAAGTTTGGCTTGAATTTCCTCTTGTGTGTATGTATGTACTCTGCATTTATCCTTATTTTATCAAGAAGTTGTGATCACTACACATACATGCATATATATATATATATGTTTATGTCTTTGTTATTGTTCTGTTCCACTATCTCTGTGTGTGTCTCTCTCTACTTCCGTCTCCGTTTCTCTTGTTTGTTTTCCACTTAATTCAAACAACAGTTGATAATGAAGTCTGTATACTACTGTGCAATCATAAGTACACCAGTGGTGTTTGTTATACAAGATTCATAATACTTGTTCTCATTTGTTCTCTTCGTTTATTGTTTCTTCCGACGATTTCAAAAATTGGATTAGTGTAAGGAAGTTGTAGTGTGTTGCTTGATGATTAGTTATATCAGCTGACTGATCTGGTTCTTGGGATATATATATATATTTATATGAAAGAGGAGAAATAGTTAGGCATTAAGCAAGCACAATGTTACTGACCTGTTGGTTGTCATCTATCTTGACTACAATACGTCTCCAGACGCGCCATTATAGCCAACTAAAGAGTCATTTGAAAATATTCCCCTACACTGAGATAGAAACAGAAATTAGCTTAGCTTTAACTGCGTGACCCTGGAGATCCTTGGAAAAAATAATCAATCAGAAATTTTTCGGTCAGGTTGTTATGGCGACGCATGCATCTAGTCATAACTTCACGGCTAACAAAGGCAGTTGGTCCGTCCCAACACCTCCACTTTTTTGATAGATATTCAGTCTGGGGACCACTGGAAGATACTTATAGATCTAAATACTCTTCGTCTAGGATACCGTCGCCCCTCGAAATAGTGTAGGATCATTGTTTGGTGCACAATTAAATTTATTAACAAAAGTAAAGAAATCATCACATTATTCCTTGTTCAGAATCAAACAGTTGTAGCCGGTATTGTGAATACTAATGCACTTTCCCAAAAAATCTTACGAAGAATTCGCATCGTTTCATCAATATTCCGAGATTATTTATTATTATTATTATATCTTTTAATTCCTAGAGGAACATAGGGCTTCAGCTGCGCGTCTCTATTGCCTTCTGTTTTCTGCCAACTTTTTCACTCCGCTCCAAGTCTTCCCACATGCTTTCATCTCCTTCTCACATGACCTCCTCCAAGTCACCCTTGCACTGACGACCAACTCGCCACTTCCCTTTCGGGTTCCACTCGGGCAGTGGCTTGTCTAGTGATGTCACTTGATGGTGTATGGCCAATCCATCTCCATTTCTTCCTGCCTATTTGTTTCGCAATCGGTTCCTGGTTGGTTCACTCCCAGAGATCCCTGTTGCTGATCTTTTCTGGCTGGCCATCTGATCTAGAGTAGTATTGAGCGAAGACAACTGTTAATGAAGGTTTGAAGTTTGTTTGAGATGCTCTTTATGACGCGCCAAGTCTCTGATCCGTAAATATCCCGAGATAGCACTACCCAACGGGAAGGTTTATAAATCGAATTATAGTGACACAATTCTTCAAAAATTCTCTGAAATGAATCGAATATCATAACAGATTTCATCAACTAAGTCCCAAATATCTCCAGAAGCATTTTTAGGTAGTACATGACACGTAGAGGGAACTGGGGAGACTTATTCATGAAGTGGAAATCTCTGCACTAGAACTGGTGATATATCTCTTGGTTTTGCACAAGTAGCGCCTTCTCTAGATTTCGATGCATTTATAGAATTCTGACTTCCGATATGAGTTCTAACATCAATTTTTTCATGGATTCATTCAAACCCAGTTGTGCAAATGATACATCAACTGATAAACTGCTCTGTACTTCTGTGGATGATGATGTAATCAATAGTCTCAGTGGCGGGGAGGGGGGACTTAATGACTGTAAAGATAATTTAATAGTATGCACTTCGATCAGTTTCACCTGGAAGTCTTCATACTGTTTCTGTCTCTAATATAGTAGTAACAAAACTCCGTTGAAAATCAATATGACTTGAATTTATTCTTGAAAGAGGTTGTATGTGTGACTCGTTTGTCTGCTAAATTTCACTGGTAGAAAAACAAAAACTTTCACGTCGCTACTGATTGATTGATTGAATTAAGACGGCAACTGATGCTTTGTAAGTCCTTTTCTTTAGGGTCTTTCAAGGCATCAGCTGATTTCGTTAATCATGTCTGGAAAACATATTTGAATGCTTTCATTATTTTTCTGGTGAACAATTGTCCGATGTATTTATCACCTTGATTTAGTTCATGGTTTCTGCGTACTCATCAGCTTTTGCTTTGTCATTAATCTTGTTTTTCAAACGAATCTCTAATGCGTTTTCATCTCGACATTTCCTCTAACATGTACACTAGAATAGTAGCAGCAGTGCACATCAATTTTGGCGATCAATGGAATTTTTACTTGGTCTTTTTAACGAAACTTAGTGGTACATATAATCAAATTTGCAAATGACATAGTTCAAAGGTGGAAATTCACCACAATTTTAGCTTTGGTAATAACCTATAGTATTCAAATCTCACACATTGGCATTAATATATTCTCAAGTGTTGGTTTGCAGGGATTTGATTGGAAACAGGTTTGGTCACCAGCTGACATCTGTTAGAGAACCACCGGAAAACCTGCAGGGAGTACTGGACAGCTATGAGAAGTCGTGAGCAGTGGGGTCTGCAAAGTCAAGTAAGAGATCAGTTGCTCGTCAATGACACTGACTAGTGGTTGTGCTATGCATACAGCGAATCGATAGAAGTTGAAATTGGATCGGTTCATAGTGGCTAAATGGTATACGAGCTTGCCTTGTAAGCGGAAGGCCGAGGGTTCGAATCCCAGTGTATAAGTACTGGTGAAAAGTCCTAGACTAGGATGAAACGTCTCCAGTACACCTAGGTTTTTCAATATTTTTCTAACTGATTAACATATTCGTCCAAATGGCTAACCAGAAACTAATTCGACAGTGTTAGCATGAGTCTATCAGAGTACGCAGGTTTAACTGGCGAAGTGGCAGTGTGGCCTTTAACTCTCTCCTATCTATATTCACCAAGAACCATTGGTGCCGTTGTGATTAGTCGTCAGTCATAGGGAAAACTGAAAAGACGTCTTCAGTAAAATTTTCTTTTCAACGAAGTCATCAACCAGGCTGTACATTCGTGTATATGAAATTTTAAAAAGCCTACACCATGAGGATGTCAAATCAAGAATCGGGAAGGCAAGAAACACATTCATCAACCTGACTGAAACCAATCTGAAAATCTTCGTCACTCAGCCAGGATCAACAACAAAATTCGGTCTGATTTTCAATACAAACAACGTCAAGTCAGTCAGTTCTTCTATACGGATCAGAAACTTGGCGGGCGGACGGGTCACAAAGAATATTTCCAACAGCCTGTTGCAGACAACACCTTTATCAACAACTGTCTTAGCTGGCTCTATACTGGAGATCTGATGGCCGGGCCGGAAAGAATCACCAACAAGAAACTATGGGAAGGAACAAACAAAACAAGAACCAATCGCCAACCAACAAATATGCAGGAGAAAGTGGAGATGGATTGGACACTCGCTGAGGAGGCCGCCGCTGGGTGACATCACGCGTCAGGCCACTGCTCGAATGGAACCAGGCCGAAAGGGAAGCGGCGAGTGGGACGTCAGTGCAAGGGTGACATGGAGGAGATCGTGTGAAGAGGAGTTGAAAGAGTATGGACTAACATGGATGGATGCAGGTGAAAAGTACAGCAGCAGAAGACAGAAGCAAGTGGAGAGGTGCAGTTGAAGCCTTATGTTCCACTAGGAACCCAAGGGAGCAGTAATAATAATCATACACTATGAACTCAAAACAAATATGTCCAACCGTTGTCTTTTACCATAACCATCATAAAAAGTCAGTTCTCTCAATAGTGTGATTATCTGATTACGTTTCTTAAGCGTACTTACTGTCCATGTTCTTACTGCTACATTTTTATTCCCTAATTGCACAAAAACCCACTTTCCTCAGTAATTATGATCTTACTGTGTTTTTTATCTGATCGTCCTCTTCATATTTTGAATTACTGCATTTTTTAAAGCCTATTTGTAATCTTGTTACACTTTTCCCCTCGGCCGGAAGTATTTTCGGGACTTTCTCACCCATTTACTATATAAGTACACGAAAGTATAACAGAGTTGATGACTTCGTCGAGCGTGACGGCGTATATATATATACATTCTACTTTATTCCAAAAACAGTACTTATAATACAGAATGGAATTCTGAGCATTTGTCACAATGTTGCATCTGATTTACTCAAAATATAAATAAAATTAAAACAAAATTAAGCACATGACTTTGCCCATACTTACGGTAGGACTGAAGTCTGAAATGTGCAAAGCACAAAATAATAACGGTGAGTTTGTTTCAAACAGTATTGTCAAGCATGTTATAGATTATTGAATCTAATATTCTGTTGATATAGCAGTATAGTGAGTCATAACACAGATTCACTGATGTTTACACTTATGAAAAAATAAACGAATAAAAAACAAAAAATTGTGAGGATTATAAATATAAGAAGAACAATAACAATAAAGCTTGGTACTGTAAGGGTGGAAGAAATGGTTTATTTAGTAGTGCAAAGAAGGTTAGTTAGTTCATACCTAACAATATTTTCATCACATAAAGTATGTTCCAAATATGGTATAGTGGAATTTTTATACTTAGACTTACGTGCATGAAGTCTTTTGAAAAGACTTCTTGTTTTGCCTGAGGAGACACAAGGTAAAGTGGATGCCCACAGTCTGACAAAATTCCTTCGGGAAATTTTTTGCATGAAATCAAGTGCCTATCATTGACGATGTCAACCATATGGCCCAATGGGATACCACTCGCCTTACTGACCGACAGTTTTCAGGGTTCTACGAAGTATGACATGGTCTTTTTTAAGCAATCCAAGAAAGAATAAGAGTGAACAGCAAAGAAGAATAGGTAAGATGCACGAATTGACAAACTGTAAGAGAAGGGTATTTAATTGGTGGATGGTGATTAGCAGTGGAATCCAGGATGCGCATTTCGTCCTATTTGGGACTCGTCATCTGGATGTACCTGCATTTCTCAGTGAGTGATGATGTTCCCAGCGAGGCTCAAGTTATACCTGAGTGCCTCAACTTCTTAATGTCAAAAATCAAACGAAATATTCTTTTAGAAATCGCTAAGACATGGGCAAGACCAGGATATATATATATATATATATATATATATATATATATATATATATATACACGAGATAATCCTCAAAAAGTACCAAGTAGTTAACTTCCGAAAACACTGTACTTACATACTCTAATCGTCGGTCGGTTGGTTACTATCGTACGCATTGGTTCTCTCTTAATTCTTGTTATCCAGAATAAGCATAGATTCATACTATTGTCCTTCGAGACTGATACTGGAGGTTGCCCTAACGTTTTATTCGAGTGTATCAGCATTCTACTGTTAATTGTCTGACAGTTAAATTAGGTGACTTTACTCTCTTCTATACACTCATTGTCATTAGAAATATTTAGACAGTGTACATAGATAGCTGAGGTACTGCATATCGCTAATTCGTGGTAGTTCAGATTTATTGTCATTTCTTTCAGCCTCATTGGCTGAGTGGTAGACACACATGGTGTGGGGTAACATAAACAGGTGCACTCCTCTGTTCTCTATTGAAGGTCCCAAGTTCACTCCTCCGGTGAGATCGTGATTGCATGTATTGCTGAAGAGTCCCAAAGTTGGACAAAATAGGTATCTAGCAATGTCTGCTTCTCTAACCGACGTCAGTTTGGGAACTCTTGTAAAATGCATATATATATGTATATATAGTCATAGACAGTTAGGTGTTTTAAGGAAGTTTCAAAGATGAACAAGTGAAAATTAATTAGATGTATTGCTCGTTTCTTTTTTTCTCTCTCAGCTTCGCCCTTTTCTCTACTATTTACGCCTACATT